CAAAGCAATGCGCTGAACGCCTAATGCTATCTACCAACTTCTTCTACAAATTTTAGGTTATTTTGGTGCATTTAATATTTTCAATTCTACCGTTTTCCATTTCGTCAAAATTCCGCTTAGCCATTATTGTGCTTTTTCCGATTTTTTTTCTGATGTTTCAAAAACTCTCCAGTAAAACTAGCTCAATTAAAATTTAATGCAGACTCGTCAGTACTCGTTTCTACCGTAATTTTCCAGCTTCATCGCGCTGAAATTCCTGAAGGTGGTCCCGATGCGAATCCTGGAAAAGATGGTCGAGCACGACGTCGACAGCCGCTTTGATCACGAGAAATTCGGGCTCAAGCCGAAACATCCGATCTTCAGGTTTCGAACTTAAAAAACATTAAGACTTTATTAAAATGGAGGCATTATATGTATCTTTGAGTTTATCGGAAACCAAACTTTTTAAATACATATCAATCGAAGGGAAAAACAATTAAAGACTTCCAAAATACGAAATATTGCTGATTTTATGAAACATGTTCTGTAATTTTAGCATTTAAACGATGAGTTTTTTTACTTTTTTGTACAAAATATATCTGAAAAATCACTAAAAGGACACATTTTTCAAAATATCAATTAATTAAATATTTTTATAACTTGCTGGAAATCAGAAATGATTAAAGCACGATCAAAATACATTCCGTATTAGGAAAAAAACATGTATTTGGGTAAGATTAAAGTTTCAAAAAATTCCACCCCCGCTAATAGTTCAGTGCCGAATTTTTGCATTAGCTACTTTTTTTATTACCAACTGAAATTGCTTTACATTAGTTTTCATATTATTAGCGCCAAGACAAAAAACAGAGAACACAAAATTTTCTTGAAACCTGTTTTTGTAGATATCGTTTGTTGAAAAAACCTAAATTTTTTGTCATTACCTAATTACCACTTTTTTAATTGAAGTGTTAGAGAAAAATATTACACTTAGCATCTGATCTCACCATTGTTAATTCCCAAAATATATATTAAAAAACGGTATAAATATTAGACGCAATCACAAGTAAAATGTATCAAAATTTTTCATCATTATGAAGATTTTGCTGGTTGCTATTACCGCTTTTTTGTCTAGTCTTCAAACCCACGAATTAAAAGAAAATTTCAGCGCCCACCCAACCCTATCCGACGAGTTGCCGAACCGTGTGATGTCCGGAACAGTTAAGGTATAGATTAGAGTGGCGCTTATTCAAATCAGATTTGAATAAGATTCAAATTGTTCAAATCAAGCCGATTTGATTTGAATTGGAGCCGACCAAATCAAATCAAATCGATTTGATTTGAGTTCCACCAGTTCAAATCAAATCCAGCCGATTTGAATAATTTGAATAAGACCTCATAGAAATGAACCAAACGCAACTCGTAATTCGTGCACCGCTCTTTCCCTATAATCTCTTAGCATTGTTCCAGCGTCCCAGTTAACGATTCCTTATACATTCCCTATTGTTTTTACCCGTTAACTTTTCCAAAGAAAAACCATAGCGCAGGCTAAATCTGACAAAAAAAACGTCTGGCTCAATTTTATATAAATGTCATCAAAACTCCCCATGAATTATTGTAAAGGACACCTAAATGTGCAGAAACGGCGCTACCAAAAGCCCTCCGAACCGCCGATTTTCAATTTGCATCCTTGATAAGCCTGTTGTTCAAATCCCAAATCAAATCGATTTGATTTGAGTTGGCCAGCCCCTAATTCAAATCAAATCGATTTGATTTGAAGTTGATTTTTTGGCACTCAAATTTGCTAATTCAAATCAAATCAATTTGAAGCCGATTTGATTTGAATAAGCGCCACTCTAGTATAGATTAATTTGAAACTTCGATTATTAACGTTTTTTATATAGATTTATTCTAGATTTATATATTCTATTTTGTATAGAAAACGCATTAAAAACGACAATTTGCCTATTCCCAAAATTTCAGGTGAAACCCGGGATCAAGAAATTCCAAGGCAGCACCCTATTTTTCGAGGATGGCACCGTAGCGGAAGATGTGGATGAGGTACGGAGGCCAAGCCTAAGCTAAGCCTAAGCTAAGCCTAAGCCTAAGCCTAAGCTTAGCCTAAGTTAAGCCTAAGCCTAAGCCTAAGCTTAGCCAAAGCTAAGCCTAAGCCAAGCCTAAGCCAAGCCTAAGCTAAGCCTAAGCCTAGTCCGAACGTCAAGCATTTTCGACAAATTTTTAGACTTTGATCGTATCAGTAGTACGCGCAAGCCGCCTTCGCAGAACGGAGCATTTTTCTGTAACGTATTTTTTGGCAAAATGTCCAAAACGATTTTTTCCCTCCAAACAAAGCAGAAATTGAGAGATTTATGAAAAAATAGGGATGTTGCTTGTAAAAAATTAAATTGCTTCTGGATATGGTTATCTCCCCTAGATGCACGTATCAATTTCTCAAGCAGATTGTCAGGGAGAAATCCAGCGGCGCACTGAATTCCATTCCGCGCTTTGAAAGCATAGATTTTTCTGAAACATCCTCCCTTGAGACAATAGTTTGCATTTCGGTCGCATTTCAGTCACCCCTTGAATACTTTTAGGTCATTTGCTGCACCGGCTACTCGTTCCGATTCCCGCTGCTAGAAAAGGGGAATTTGGTTCCGATTGATAGTAAGTCATCATTCAAATTTCCTGGAATTTCGAACAAGTCGGAAAACTGAGATCCTATAGATTCTATTCTATAGATTTTTCATTAATAGTTTTCAAAAGTCACCAGTTTTTAACAAGCTTAAAAGATTTTCTACGATTTTAACAAGCGTAATCAATTCCAGACAACAATCACGGTGGGATCTACAAGCTGATGTTCCCGCTACAGACCGCCGACAAAAATACCCTGTGCTTAATCGGCTTGTGCCAGGTAAAATGGTGTTTCTCGTACTTGTGGGAAGCTAGCAGAGATTGTTGAGGAAGAGGAGAGGGCAGGCTAGCAGAGATTGTTGAGGAAGAGGAGAGGGCAAGCTAGCAGAGATTGTTGAGGAAGAGGAGAGGGCAGGCTAGCAGAGATTGTTGAGGAGGAGGAGAGGGAAGGCTAACAGAGATTGTTGAGGAAGAGGAGAGGGCAGGCTAGCAGAGATTGTTGAGGAAGAGGAGAGGGCAGGCTAGCAGAGATTGTTGAGGAGGAGGAGAGGGAAGGCTAACAGAGATTGTTGAGGAAGAGGAGAGGGGCAGGCTAGCAGAGATTGTTGAGGAAGAGGAGAGGGCAGGCTAGCAGAGATTGTTGAGGAAGAGGAGAGGGCAGGCTAGCAGAGATTGTTGAGGAAGAGGAGAGGGCAGGCTAGCAGAGATTGTTGAGGAAGAGGAGAGGGCAGGCTAGCAGAGATTGTTGAGGAAGAGGAGAGGGCAGGCTAGCAGGGATTCTTGTTTGAAGGGCCAGGTAACTCAACGTCCTTTTTCAGCCGTGGGGCAGCATCATGCCACTTTCCGAGATGCAGGCGCGCGTGTTCTTCGCCCAGCTCCGCGGCGACGTCAAGCTGCCATCGAGGGTACGGTAATTTTGTAATGCCTCATTACTAGAGGGTTAAAAAGACTAAAAGAACTTTGCAACTGTTTTTTTAAATTTTGATGTTTCGAAAAAAATGGATTTTGCTCGCCGCTTCTTGATCGCAATGGTTCGACGCTCCTTACCGTTGCAGAAAATCAAAGATATGAATTTCTCGTTACCTACTTTTACGCTATGATGTATCAATGTTTTAATATTATCAGGACCTCCTCGAGCAGGACGCGGTGATGCAAAAAGCGGCAATGGCCAAGCGCTACGTGAACAGCCCTAGGCATACGCTACAGGTGGGTTTTGTTACATAGCGCAGGTGCCCGACTTTTCGGCCAATTTAAATATTTTACTATCTAAAAATAAGGCTTTAGATATTTTCATGTTAAAATATTACTCTTATTCTCCATTAGATTTAAAAAACACTATCCGTTATTAGGTTGATTTCGTACCGTATATGGAGGGTCTGGCCGAGCTGATCGACTGCCAGCCGAAACCCTGGGATTTCGCCACCACGGATCCGCGGCTTTTCAAGGAGGTTTGTCCAAGCCTAAGCCCAAGCATAAGACTAAGCCAAAGCTAAGCCTAAGCCAAGCTTGAACCGAAGACTTTAATAAAGGGACGGTGACATCAAAAACCTACAGTATCCGATTCTCAGGTGTTTTTCGGCCCCAACGTCGCGTATGTCTACCGACTTTCCGGGCCCTACCCCTGGCCCGGGGCCCGCCAGGCCATTTTGGACGTTCGCCATCGTGTTGACCAGGTAATAGAGTATCCAAATCCCCGAGGGCATAGCAGAGACAATTTGAGGAATTCCGGGCCCGGGTAGGCTAGCAGAGAGAATTTGAGGAATTGTGGCCCCAGGGCAGGCTAGCATGAGACAATTTGAGGAATTGTGGACCCAGGGCAGGCTAGCAGAGAGAATTTCCCGCTAAAAATCCTCCTAATTCCAGGGTATCACCGCCGGACGGCCGCTGCGCAAGAAATCGCTTCTAGAAGAGATCTTCAACAATTGGATGCTCGTCTTCGGCCTCCTCTTCTTCGTCTACTACTTTTTCTTTTGAATTTGAAAGAAAAAGCAAACAAAAAATACAGATTTCGCGCTGAAATCGTCTTCCCAAATCGCTACCCGCTTGCTCGCTATAGATTTCTAAATGATTAAAACTAATAAAGATTTCTATTGATATCAAAACTAGTGTATAAAATCAAGGAACACGTCTATTTCTGGTAAAAATTCGAAACATGGACAAAATTGATAAAATTTTACGGCATAAAATTGTCAAAAATTTATTCCGAGGAAGGAAAGCTCACTCTCTGCACTAATAGAAGGGCGGATCACAATCGATGCGGGGTAGTAGGGGGGATAAATAGCACAGGGATTACCCGAAAACCGAGAAAAAGTACAAAACACGAATAGCGACGACGCACTACACCTATTGACAACGAGAAGAGGCAATTTACAAAAACAGGCCCAAGCTTTCTAGGCTCGGCTTGATGCGGCCAGCTGCGCTTCGAGCTTCTCGAGGATCTGGAAAATGGAAAATAGAAAATAGTAAAAAAGTAAAAAGCAAAGAGCGATGCACCCGCCGGGATCGAACTCGGCTCGTTGGCGAAAGTCTTTGAGGCCCGTTGGTTATGGGGAATAATTCTTCACTAGTCCAGTTCTTTGGATAAAAATAAGGTAGCTTTTAAATCTGCTATTTCTGCTTTACTATCGAAAACTTAGCAAAAAGCTTAAATAAATAAGATTTTAAGGAATCGGTCAGCATTTTTGCTCAAAATCCGCTACTCCGCTACTCAATCCGCTGCTCAAAACAAAATCCCGATTTATTGGCGCAAGTTTCGAAAAACACCTCAAAAAAGCCATTCGAAAGTACTAGAAACGTTCTGCAGCTGAAAGATCGAACCCGGGCCGTCCGCTCCGTATAATAAAGCAAACCAAGTAGCCAACCACCTTTTTAAAAATATTTGCGTTAGAAATCAAAATTTAAAATACCCACATTATTCGCGCAAACGGGAAGCCGCGTGCCCGGGCCAAAGATCAGCGCCACGCCGGCCTTGTGCAGCGCGTCGTAATCTTGGGGCGGGATGACGCCGCCGGCGACAACGAGGATGTCCCTGAAAAATAGGGTTAAAATTAAAAATGTATTTAAAAAATAAAATAAAACTAAAACGTACTCTCTACCGAGCTTCTTCAGCTCGTCGACCAGCTGCGGCACGAGCGTCAAGTGGCCGGCGGCAAGTGACGAGGCGCCGATGACGTGCACGTCGGCGTCGACGGCCTGAAAAATAAAATGGATAATAAATAAATAAATCAAAATCAATAAAACCCCCTCAAACAATGAACATTCCACACCTGTTGTGCGGCTTCTGCTGGTGTTTGGAAAAGAGGGCCCACGTCGACGTCGAAGCCTAAAAAAGAAAATCTAGGCGAGGCTGAATTTTTCTTCTAAGTTAAAATTCTCTACAGACTGTATTCGTCAATATTTTAATAAGAATTTATTACAATTTGAAATATTCGCGAAAAGCTAAGAATTTTTCAAAAAATGTTAAATTGGGCCCTAAAATTTGCAAATTTCCGTCGAAAAGGGATCCTATTCATAAAAATTATTAAAAATGGGCAGGTTGAAAAAATAAAATAAAAACAAAAAATAAATGGAAAACAAAAAAATTTTGGAAAAAATATAGCTCTACAAATTAAAAGTAAAAATATCGCAAGCAAAATTTTTGGAGTGTAAACCCCCCTTCTTATGTTTCGCCCCCCGATTTCTGGGGCGCCCGGGGGCCCACCTTACGCCCGTCCCTGGGTAATTTCTACGTTCAAGAGTAGCAAAAAAGCATAGAAAAATGCCTCTATCTCCATAAAAAAATTCGAAACTCACCGAGGTCGGCGAATCCGGTGGCGATGACCTTGGCGCCGCGGTCGTGCCCGTCTTGGCCCATCTTGGCCACCATGATTCGCGGTTGACGGCCCTCTTTTTGGGCGTATTGCGTGACGCGTTCGAGCACCTAAAAAACTTTTATGCAAAATTTCATTGGCCTTACCCCGTTGATCTCGCTGGTCTCGCCAAATTCGTTCTTGTACGCGCCGGAGACGAGCCGGTTGACGGCCGTGTGTCTGGAAAACGAAAATGAAAAATAAATTAAATTAAAACAAATAAACTGACCGGTTGAACACCTTCTCCATCGCGTCCGAAATCTCGCCCACCGTGCAGCGCGCCTTCGCCGCCGCCACGGCCGCCTCGAGCAGGTTGCCCTTGCCGCCGGAAAACTAAAAAATTTTTAATTATCAGCATCAAAAATCAACAAATAGTGATTGCTTTAAATATGAATAATAAACAATGCTTAACATATAAAGTTACCTCCTCAATCTGCTTCAGCGCCCCCTCGGCGGCCGCCTTGTCCCTGGTGGCGCGGATGTGCTGGATTTTGGCGATCTGCGACTCGCGCACCTTCTTGTTGTCGATTTGCAGCACTTCGATCGGGGATTCCTATAAGCGCGAAAATTAGGTACGAAAATGAATTATCACCTTCTCCAGCCGGTACTTGTTGACGCCGACGATCACGTCCTTTCCGGCGTCGATGCGGGCCTGTTTTCGGGCAGCGGCCTGGAATGGAAAAAGTCAAATACTTTCAAAACATTACGGCGCCGTGATTCTTAGAAAATATTCTAAAGATGTCTTAAATAAAACTAGAAAAACTATCTGAAAACTTTCAAAAAGTACAAATTTTGGTCAAAGGACAGCCATTTTTGGCCGAAAAAATCGATATTTTTTATTTACTATTAGATATTTTTCCGGTTTAGGAATAGTAAAAAACCACTTAGAAATAAATTCCACTATTTACATTTCAAAACTTGGATGATAAGAAAAAAATTTGTCCGTCCCCCCCGGTAATGCAACAGAACCAAAAATTAAAAGGTCACCTCCTCGATGCGCAGCTTCGTCATGCCGCTGGCCACTGCCTTGGCCATCCCGCCCAGCTCGTCGATCTCCTTGATAATCTACAAAAAAACGCCGTGGCTAATTTTCGCTTTTCCTTCCCACCTTCAGCGCGGCCTCGTACATCTCGTCGGTCAGCGACTCCATCATGTAAGAGCCGCCCCAGGGATCTGCCACCTAAAATGTGGAAATTATTGGAAAATTATCTTTTCCATACCTTACAAATGCCGCTCTCTTCCTGGATGATGATTTGTGTGTTGCGCGCGATTCGGGCCGAGAACGGGGTGGGCAAGCCGAGCGCCTGGAAACTTCAATTAAAACCTAAAGCCTAGGAACGAACCTCGTCAAACGAATTGGTGTGCAGCGACTGCGTGCCGCCGAACACGGAGGCCATGGCTTCGACGCACGTGCGGATGATGTTGTTGTAGGGGTCCTAAAGCATAAAATTCAAATAAGCTGCCGTCACCGCAAATTTTTTCTTAGGATCCAATTTTTTAATATGAAGAGCGAAAGCGTTTCTAAACTGTTGCTATTATTCCTGAAAGCAAAAAACTTTACAATTTTTATAAAAAAATACAAAAGAAAATCGATTTTTCGACCAAAAACGCAGTTTTTTTTGACCAAAATATCGACTTTTCGAAAGTTAGGTAGCTTTTCTAGTTGAAATATAGTTGTATTTTATTAAAAACTATAAAACGAGAAAAACCATAGGTCAAAAGGTTATTTAAAACGCATTTTCTATGACGAGCAACTATACGATTTTTTAATAGCGGATTTCGACTCTAAAATAACGCACCTGCTCGGTCAGCGACCACCCAGACGTCTGCGAGTGCGTGCGCAGCATCATCGACTTGGCGTCCTTCGGGGAGAAGCGCTCCTGAAAAAGACGAATGTTCCTAAAAAGGTGGACAAGCTCAAACCTTGACGAGGTGCGCCCAAAGCCGACGGGCCGCGCGCATCTTGGCGATCTCCTAAAAGAAACGCAAGATCAGAAAAAAACAATTGTTTTACCATGTAGAAATTCATCGAAATGCCCCAGAAGAAGGAGAGTCGCGGGGCGAACTTGTCAATCTCCAGCCCGGCCTTCAGCCCCGTCGCGCAGTACTGAAAATTAGAAACACTAAACTAACAATTAAAATAAGCTACCTCTAGCCCGTCGGCAATTGTGAAGGCCATTTCGAGGACGGCGTCGGCTCCGGCTTCCTAAAAATGATCGTATCTTCCAAGAAGTAGCTTTTAACAAATAATCGGTATGGACGCTACAGCTAATTCGATAGAGTTTAAACCTCTGGAAAAGTCCCATTTTTCGAAAAACCGCTGAACGACCATGCCCTTCTAATAATCGCTTTGAAAAGGCCGTCTTTCCAATTTTTGAGCTTAGCTTAAAAAATTAAAACTTTCAGAGCGTTTTTCTCACCAGGAAACATCGTTATAGCTTAGCGGTCTTCGAAAGATGGGATTCGCGCAGAATTTCAAACTTCGAATTAGCTTTATTACACCAGAAATTAATTAGAGTCTAAAAAACGGCTCGTTTTTCAATAAAAACTTTGCAAAACTGTTCTAGAACTTTAAAAGTGTTAAACTTGTTCCTTTTTAAACCTCCCGCACCTGCATATGGTATCCCGAAATCGAAATCGAGTTGAATTTCGGCATGTGGGCGCTGGTGTAGGCAAAAATGTCGCCGATCAGCCGCATCGAGGGCTCGGGCGGGTAGATGTAGGTGTTGCGGACCTAGAAACGTCAGGAAACTCACAAAACAGGCGAAAAATACCATAAATTCCTTGAGGATGTCGTTTTGGATGGTGCCGGAAAGCAGCTTCTTCGGCACGCCCTAGAAATTATGCCACGTCATAGAAAAAGTATACCTGCTCTTCTCCTGCTACAATAAACATCGCCAGCACCGGGATGACGGCCCCGTTCATCGTCATCGAGACACTCATCTGAATTTGCGGTTTTTACAGCAGAAAAATTTTAAGAAAACCTTGTCAAGCGGGATCCCGTCAAAGAGCTGCTTCATGTCCTCAACAGTATCCACGGCCACGCCCGCCATGCCGACATCACCAAATACACGCGGGTTGTCGGAATCATATCTGAAGACAAACGGGTAAAAATAACTATATTCTATATAAATCTGATTTCAGCTAGAAAACCCATCTAAAATTTTACAAAAGCTTGGCAAAAGTCGAAATTTTGGTCACAAATCGGCCATTTTTGATTGGAAAATGACAATGGCATCTAGGAATAGCAAAAAGCGCCTAAAAATACCTCAACTATTTAATTTCAAAATTGAGTCCTGCGAAAAAGTTGCATAATGCAGCCCCCCGATAATACGAAAGACTACGAAAACCTTTACCCTCGATGGGTGGCCAAATCGAAGGCGACGGAAAGCCCCTGCTGGCCGGCCTTGATGTTGTCCTTGTAGAATTTGTTGGATTCTGAAAATCAACATATGAATATGATCACTCTCAAGCGCCAAGTGTACCTTCTACAGTCGAAAATCCGGCGTATTGTCTGATGGTCCACGGGCGCTGCGTGTACATTGTCGGGTAGGGCCCTCGGGTGAACGGAAATGTTCCGGGAAGCTGCAAAAACAGATTGCTTTAGTTAATTTTTGAGTACATAAGACCTAAATAAAGAGACAAAGCCACGTCAGTGAAAAATTCAGCGCAGTTTCCTCAAAAAAATCTAACTTCCTGAATTATCTAGTAACTTTCCAGTATCAAAAAAAAGATAAAACTTGATTTTCAAGCCATTACGCGGGATAATTATATGCTACGGAAAAGCATATACCTCATTCTCCTTTCCCTGATCGCACTTTCGGTCGGTGGCCGTATACAACGGCTTGATCGGGATCCCCTCGGGCGTGTTGTACATCAGGGTATTCGCGTCTTTCCCCTAAATCGAAACTTTATCTTAACCGCAACAAAAAAAGCACCTTCATCGCCTTCGAAGCGATTGCCGCCCATTTTGCGTCAATCGGAAGCCGCTCATACGAAGAGCCGCCGCGAGTGCACGCCTAAATTACCAAAAAATCAACGTTAGGGAGCTAGGCGATACCTTCAAAACCCAGTCGATCCTTCCCGAACGACGCAGCATCGCGCTCAACGGCCTAAAAATATAGTTTACCAATAACTAAGGTCTTAATACCCGAAAAACAAAGAAAAAATGCTATGCGGCTGTCAGTGAAGAGTTTGTGGCCGCGAGATAAGGGCAGCTGGAGAGATCTTAGAGAAAAGGTATCGACCTTGCAATGTGCACGCAAATAGCAAAAACATTGCGCCCCAAAATGGGCGATTCTGAGAAGCAACAGCAAAATCCATTCCTCAAATTCTCAGAGCTTTCACCAGCTTAACAAAAAGCTTGTCACAGCGATTCAATTTTGTGAAACCGAACGGCTGAAGAGAAAAAGCACCCCGAAATCCAGAATCTCCCCGAAGCCGCCACGACCCATTGTTAGTTCAAAAACACCGCTTCTTCAAAACAAGGCTGCCACCGGATTCGCCGAAAATCAATGTGCTGTCAAAGAGCCTGTACTGTCAATGAAAACTTATGAAGGCGTGGGACAATATTTATTTAAAAAAATACAAAGCAATCAATGTAGTATTCGCATGATATTTTTCAATCATTCATAATCCTGAGCGCCGGTCGTGTTGTCTCCCTCGAACTCGCCTTCGTCGTCGGCGGTGGCCTCTTGGTATTGCTGGTATTCGGAGACGAGATCGTTCATGTTCGACTCCGCCTCGGTGAACTCCATCTCGTCCATGCCCTCGCCCGTGTACCAATGGAGGAAGGCCTTGCGACGGAACATGGCTGAAAATAGTAATTTAAAAAAAGGCATAGAGCAAATTTATACCTGTGAATTGCTCGCTGATGCGCTTGAAGAGCTCCTGGATGGCGGTGGAGTTGCCAACGAAGGTCGCGGCCATCTTCAGTCCACGTGGCGGGATGTCGCACACGGCAGTCTTGACGTTGTTGGGGATCCATTCGACAAAGTATGACGAGTTCTTGTTCTGCACAGAGTGCATCTGGTCGTCCACCTCGCGCATGCTCATCTTGCCGCGGAACATTGCGGCGACGGTCAGGTAACGCCCATGTCGCGGATCGCAGGCAGCCATCATGTTCTTAGCGTCAAACATCTAAAAAAGTAATAAAAATCCAGAAAGAAGGGTTTACCTGCTGCGTGAGCTCAGAGACAGTCATGGCCTTGTACTGCGCGGTGCCCTTGGCGGACAAAGGAGCGAAGCCAGTCATGAAGAAGTGGAGACGCGGGAACGGAACCATGTTGACGGCCAGCTTGCGGAGATCAGCGTTGAGTTGGCCGGGGAAGCGCAGACAAGTAGTGACGCCCGACATCGTCAGTGAGACTAAAAACCGTCATCAGGAAAGCAATAGGAAAAATTACCCAAGTGGTTGAGATCCCCATAGGCAGGATTGGTCAGCTTCAGGGTGCGGTGGCAGATGTCGTAGAGAGCCTCGTTGTCGATGCAGAAGGTCTCGTCGGTGTTCTCGACGAGCTGGTGCACAGACAGCGTAGCGTTGTAAGGCTCAACGACGGTGTCGGAGACCTAAAGAAAAATTTGAGAAAGTGTGTGACACCAAACCTTGGGCGATGGCACAACCGAGAACGAGGCCATGATCCTGTCCGGGTACTCCTCACGGATCTTGGAGATGAGCAGGGTGCCCATTCCGGATCCGGTTCCTCCTCCGAGGGAGTGAGTCAGCTGGAAGCCCTGGAGACAGTCGCAGCCCTCAGCCTCCTTGCGCACAACATCGAGCACCTGGTCGACGAGTTCAGCTCCTTCGGTGTAGTGGCCCTTGGCCCAGTTGTTGCCGGCACCGGACTGGCCGAAGACGAAGTTGTCGGGGCGGAAGAGCTGCCCGTAGGGCCCGGCGCGGACGGAATCCATCGTGCCTGGCTCGAGGTCGACCAAGACGGCGCGCGGGACATACTTGTTGCCTAAAAACCAGTAATTATGAAAAAAGGTAAGAAACAAAAGTCAAATGCATCTAGTAAACTCCGCGCCAAAAAAACGAACCGTTGGCCTCGTTGTAGTAGACATCCAGGCGCTCGCGCTGCAGCTCGGACTCGCCCTGGTACTGTCCGTCGGGCTGGATGCCGTGCTCGTCCGAGATGACCTCCCAGAACTTCGTGCCGATCTGGTTACCGCATTGGCCGGCCTGGACGTGGACGATTTCGCGCATGTTGATTGAGGATTCTGGAAAAAGAAAACGATTATAGGCGAATAAGTGCGAACGAGAACGGAAATAGAAGTCAACGAAAACCAAAAAGGAGTGGAACCCCAGCTAAACACCTCATTCCCACAAACAGTAAAGCAAATAGGCAACTAACACGGACGAACCGCTGGGCTGCAATCCAACCAGACACCAAACATTTCGAAAGGGGGGCGCACAACCGGCGTGCGTAAAGAGACCGAGGCGAGCGAAAAAATGGCGGAAAGGGGAGAGCCGGCCCTCCCGCCGAAGCGGCCCCCAAGGGGCACGGAATAGCCGTCGCTACGGTAGGGGGTCGATAAATGGGAAATGGGCGAAAGTGGTGAAATTTCTGCCGGGACGGGAACGTTTTCAAAAAAGTGCGCACAAATGAACACTTGGGAAATCGTGGGCGCCTTGCTAAAAGTCTGGTTCCCGTAAACAATAATGTGGAAGGCAAGCAACACAAAGGAGGATAAGCGAAAGATGAAATAGAAGTTAGTAAGGATCAAAAACGCTAATGAGCAACAGAGCGATCGGATAAACTTGCAAAATGCGCGCCAGGAACCCGTTTCAAACCCGAAACTGGGCTGCACGTAAAAGAACCGCGAAAAATGCCGAAATCGGGAAAATCATGCTGGACTGGCGAAATTCAAAGAGCGGCCAGGGGGTGAAATTCAGGGAGAAACTAGGGGGTTACGGTGCAAGGTCCACAGGACAAAAACCGTCGGGTTGTTAGTAAAAGTCGTACTCAAATTAAAAGTTACAAAAAAGTTGCAAATCTTTTAGAAAAGCAATAAAAATCAAGTTATTTGCCAAAAAAATAACAATTTTAGCTTGAAACTTTGTGGGTGTGTCTTTTTTTGATCTATAAATGAGTCACAATTAGCAGAATTTTTGCCCAGCGTGATAAGCTGGCGGCGCAGCTGATTAGAGGGGGCATTCGCGTTGAAGCGCGAATTGACCCCTTGCAGATTTTCCGGGAAGCCATTCAAAAATATTAATATTTGTTGGCAGTTATTTTTCATTGTCTTTCAGCCCGTGCTAATTTTAGTGGTAACAAAAAAAGGTTAACAAAACTCACATTTTTGGCTATTTCGGTCGCAAGAAGCGCACGCGCTTCCGGATTTCAAGAAAAAGCTATGAAAAATATAGTTTCTCACATTCTGTTGGAGTGTAAAATATGGGTTTTTTTGAAACGCGGGGGATTTGGTGTTTGGAAAAAGCTCCAGAGCTCCTTTGTAGCGCTGCACCGACTCACGAACCTTAAATATTTAAGCGCACGGCCCAGAAGCAGCCCCGTCGGTACCCCGGTCTATAGAAATTTTTTATTTTATCTTAAAGTATCGGTGTGTTTGTGCCTGGAATGAATAAAATCTTTTTGCATTTATCTTTTAAAGCATAAAGCATAAAAATTAGTTTTCCGCCTGATGCCCCCCGCTAACAGTCCAGTACCGTGCTAATCGGCTAATTTAGGGATGCTAAATTCTGCGATGTCGATGAGCAACGGGCCATCGAGTGATGATTCGTGTTATGCTGGCTGGTTTGCTAGGCCAATTGGTGGGCGCTACCCGACGAGGTTCCATTCTGGTCACTTTCAGGTGTGCTCTGACGGGATTGTTGCTGATTTCTGCTCGACTCTTAATAATAACCATTTTAATGGTTTTTTTTAGTGAAATTTGACTATCTTCAGGTACCAAAAAAGTCTTGACTACTTTTGAAAATCTCCAAAAATGCGAAAATCGGTCAAATTTTGTCGAAACATTGGTATTTTTCTTTTTTGGAATTCAATTTTTCTTTTTTTTTTTTTGGGGTGTTTATAGTTTTTTTAGAATCATTTTCTCCATTTTGTATAGAAAAGTTGGAGCATGAAGGAAAAGCTGGTTTATATATCGTAATCGTTTAGGGCGAAACAGCCGCCAAGGAATTTCGAGGCAATATTATTCACCTCGAGAAGCAGCTGAGGGCCAACGAGGAGCATGAGGTAGCTTGAAGGTATCGGATAAAGAGGTTTATCTGGCGCCCTTCCAGACTAGATGTTCGATCGCGCATCCGTCGTCCCTGGCTAATCAGCCTCCAGCCGTGATCGGCTACCCTCCGGTATTTTTAGAGATTTGGAAATTTTCTGGTATGAAAGTAGGAAATGTTTCTAAATGGTTAGTCTTTTTAGTCTTTTTTAGTCTTTTAAACACAAAATTTTACAAATTTTGATTAGAAACTACGAAAAATACGCTTTTTCCACCAAAACGGCCTATTTTCGACCAAAATGTCGGATTTTAAGACATTTTAATATTTTTGATAGTTTTATGCTTGGAATCTAGCTAAATTTTACTAAAAAAAACTTAGAATAAGTAACGTTAAATTCCTCGTCATTCCTAGGCTTATACTAAAAATTTCTCCGCCCCCCCACCCGATAATGCGAAAGCACCATAAAAGTGTATAAATAATATACAAATAAAAGTATGATAAATAAATAAATTATAATTGTATATTTAGGGTAATGATTTAAGGTTTTTTATAACCCTTTTTTCAGAGCCATACGACGGTTGACGTCTATGATTACCCGCATCAATACGGCGATAAGAATCCAGTGTTGCACAACTGCGTGTGTTTTTACGTTATCTATAAAAGTAGATTCAGATGTTTTTCTTATTAGGAAATTTCGTAATTTTCGCATGATTTCCTATAAACTTAAATCAGATAAATGTCGAAGTTTTTATAGAAACTTTGCAAGGATGGCTGGAAGGAGAAGCGGATGTATTATAAGGTAGGTACTGGATTCTAGGCAACTGGCGCCGCTTTTTTATTTTATGGAAACATTTTGATAGTTGGTCGCACCAATCTTGAATAAAATCCGGAAAATTTTTTGATTCCTATGTTTCTTCAGAACATCGAATTTTAGTCGGGCTGGACGGCCTATTTCACATTTCTTCTCGTGTTTCCGCTACTTTCCGCCGTCGATTTTTTGGGTAGCAGCACGGATGGGTCATATCAAAGGTTGGTCAGCGATCAAATTTCGGTTCTTCTCTGTTAACGGGGGGAGGCAACCTAAAGCTTTAACACTCTGTTAGCCTGCCCTCTCCTCTTCCTCAACAATCTCTGCTAGCCTGCCCTCTCCTCTTCCTCAACAATCTCTGCTAGCCTGCCCTCTCCTCTTCCTCAACAATCTCTGCTAGCCTGCCCTCTCCTCTTCCTCAACAATCTCTGCTAGCCTGCCTCTCCTCTTCCTCAACAATCTCTGCTAGCCGGCCCCTTTCAGCCAACTCTCCGCCGAGCGGCACACCACCTGGGTGTTGGTGCTCGGCTTCTTCGGGCTGAACGTCTTCGGCACGTGCTTTGGTCTCTGGGGCATCTGGCGATCGAAGAAGCTGGCCGTGCTCGTGTTGGGGCTATTATACGTAGGTATTTTCGTCAAAAACTTGATGGAATCGCTTTTTTTTAACTTAACACAATTTTTTCCAGTTTAACTGCTTGCTGTTCTTCGCCGACAACGCGGTCTCGGAGGTGACCACGAAATGGCAGGGGTCAATAGCGTCATGTTTCATTGGTGTTTTGTATGGAATAGCCGGGTGGCAGGCCAGCCAATGTGCCGATCGCATTAATGTATGTCGGGGGTGTTTTTGAAATAAATTGTTTGATAAAAAATGAAACCGTTCTTCATGTCTTTATCTTTTTATCGCTATCTCTCTCTCTCTCTCTCCACAAAACGCTCGAAACCGTGTCTCTAATAATCGGGTCCAGAGATAAGGAGCGCGATAGAGTAAGAGAGAGACAGCTAGAGAGAGAGAGAGCGAGGGAAAGAGATAGAGAGCGAGCGAGAGAGCTGGGGGACAGAGAGAGAGAGAGAGAGAGAGAGCGAGAATCAGAAAGAGAGGGACAGCGAATGCATGATGGAAAGAGAGAGAGCGAGCGAGCGAGATAGAGAGAGGAAGATAAAGAGAATCATTGCGGACCCCGCCACGACAAGTCCATTTTTTATCCGTCCAATCCGAGGCGCGACGTCGATAAACAAGGTTGTTTTCAGGGTTCGGCAAATAGCCAATTTCTGATGCGCCCCCCGGCGCAACGTCAAGCTTCCTGGTTCTGAAGCCGAAAATTTGACGTTTTTTTGTCGAATTCATTTTTTGCCGGTGCTTCTCAGTTCCATTTAAAAAAGCTAACAGCTAAAAATGTTAGACCAAGGAAATTTACGTTGTTAAAAAGTTTAATAAAGTGCCGAATTGTTGTGGAAAATAAATACATTAAATATAGCAAAATTACGACGGTTTGCATAGTTTAAGTTTCATATCATTATTAGGAACACAAATAAGAAACTGGATGAAGCCATTTAGCCATTTTTGGAGGCTAAAAACTCGATGTTTCACACATATTTGTTAAGAAAATGGTTCAGACTGAACTATGCCGTTGTCGATTTTCTTTTGAACCGTTTCATGACTTTTATTCGTGCGCACAAGGCGCCGTTAACTTTTAATGTTGTCTTTTTCAAAAGCTTTGTCTATTAATCGATTTGTAATCTTCTTAGCCTGTAAATCAAGCATCCTGGCTCTATAATTATAATCTTTGATGCCTGAAGTTTTTCTTGGCGGCCTCGCTTGGATGAAAATTTGTTTTCAGCGGCCTCGACGTGATTTTAGAGCCGAGAATCAGAGGTCCAGGGCGGTGTTTCATTAAAGGGCGTGTTTGGGTGTTTAATTGAAAAAAAGAGAAAGCGAGAGAGAGAGAGAGAGAGAGAGAGAGAGAAAAATTTGAAAGACTTTCACCTCGGCTCCTCACCGTCATCACCGCCCGCCGAATTAATTGGATTCGTGGCCCCGGGCCGTCGGCCCGAGGCCAGGAAACTTCACCCCATCGCTGGGTCCAAATAGCGAAAACCGCTCGAAATAGCCCCTCAAGCATATATTTCTACGGTTTTTATCGGTTCTTCTCGCTTATCGGGGGGGGGGGTGGTGGCGAAAATTCTCCGATTCAATTCTCCTCTTAAAAATTTTTCCGACGCTTTTACTGGGTTGTTACTTTCTCTGCTAGTCTGCCCTCTCCTCTTCTTCAACAATCTCTGCTAGCCTGCCCTCTCCTCTTCTTCAACAATCTCTGCTAGCCTGCCCTCTCCTCTTCCGCAACAATCTCTGCTAGCCTGCCCTCTCCTCTTCCTCCACAATCTCTGCTAGCCTGCCCTCTCCTCTTCCTCAGCAATCTCTGCTAGCCTGCCCTCTCCTCATCCTCAAAAATCTCTGTCAGTTTTCCTTTCCGTCCCATCCAATTTCTTCTATCTTTCCGCGTCAATCTTTGTTTACGCTTACGGTCCGAAAATCCCATTCTGGCGCATAATCCCGCAGACAAATGGTTGGAATATGTGAAAACAAACGATTTTAGCCTTAACCTTCTTTTGTTGTTTTTTATTATGGTATTTCGCAATTTTAAACAGATTTAGCCATTTCTGAATTCCGAAAATGTGGCGGCCAGCTTTTATCGGCTATATAATGCTCATATTTCTACCGTACTTCACGGTGACGTTCGTCTTTATGGATCGAATAATGCATACGGATGCGGTGTCGATACCAGTGAAGGTATATTTTTCTAACCAAAGACGCCGAGGGGTTACTGGCCATGCACTTTTGCGCACATGGCATTTTTTCTGAAACACGCTTTTTAAAAAAAGAAGTTTGATGAGTTTAGCCGAGAATAACGAATTTTTGCTAAAAAGGCATAGTGACGAGGTATCATACAGTACTTTACAGGTCTATCTGCTGATTTTCTACAGTGTGCTATGTGCGGTTTTTGCACTCGTACATGTCGCATTTCTGTGCCAATCGCTGGCCGGTCATATTCCGATTAGCATAAAGGTGAGATTGAGCAATCTAGCAGAGATTGTTGAGGAAGAGGAGAGGGCAGGCTAGCAGAGATTGTTGAGGAAGAGGAGAGGGCAGGCCAGCAGAGATTGTTGAGGAAGAGGAGAGGGCAGGCTAGCAGAGATTGTTGAGGAAGAGGGGAGGGCAGGCTAGCAGAGATTGTTGAGGAAGAGGAGAGGGCAGGCTAGCACAGATTGTTGAGGAAGAGGAGAGGGCAGGCTAGCAGAGATTGTTGAGGAAGAGGAGAGGGCAGGCCAGCAGAGATTGTTGAGGAAGAGGAGAGGGCAGGCTAGCAGAGATTGTTGAGGAAGAGGAGAGGGCAGGCTAGCAGAGATTGTTGAGGAAGAGGAGAGGGGCAGGCCAGCAGAGATTGTTGAGGAAGAGGAGAGGGCAGGCTAGCAGAGATTGTTGAGGAAGAGGAGAGGGCAGGCTAGCACAGATTGTTGAGGAAGAGGAGAGGGCAGGCCAGCAGAGATTGTTGAGGAAGAGGAGAGGGCAGGCTAGCAGAGATTGTTGAGGAAGAGGAGAGGGCAGGCCAGCAGAGATTGTTGAGGAAGAGGAGAGGGCAGGCTAGCAGAGATTGTTGAGGAAGAGGAGAGGGAAGGCTAGCAGAGATTGTTGAGGAAGAGGAGAGGGTAGGCTAGCAGAGATTGTTGAGGAAGAGGAGAGGGCAGGCTAGTAGAGATTGTTGAGGAAGAGGAGAGGGTAGGCTAGCAGAGATTGTTGAGGAAGAGGAGAGGGCAGGCTATCAGAGATTGTTGAGGAAGAGGAGGGGGCAAGCTAGCAGAGATCTTTTGGCAAAACCGGTCAAAACTTCTTCATTAAAGGGCCTCGACAAGACGACCACCGACTATGTGGAAATGTCCACGACGGTAGATCGGTAGGTTTTGCGAGAGAAATAGAGACAGACAGAGAGAGAGATAAAGGGAGAGAGATCGACAGAGCGCGAGCAAAGATAATTTTTAGTGAAGACACGCTCCTCTCCCCTTCTGCTGCCACATTCCCGATCCGGGCCGTCGTCCGGTACATCGTCATGGAGGTACAAGGCTTGCTTTTTGATGCTTTTTCATTACCTTAAGTTATATAAATTTCAAAGGTCGTATTTATAGCTTCTAATGAACTATTGAAGGAATGAAAGCTATAATTTTTAAGACAATTTCGACTACAATTCTCGGCGTTATCCTGTGCTTTTGGACGATAAATTTGGCCGTGCATGGCTATGCAAAGCGGCCGGGATTTTTGGCGCAAAGGAGTGAGTTTCTTCGCTGTTGCTCTCGCTTTCTAGCTCTCTCTATCTGTCTCTCTTCCTCACTCTCTCTCGCTCTCTCTTTCTGTCTCTCTCTCTCTCTCTCTCGACTTTTTGAACGCTTTCGATCAAACATACATTCGACAGTGCAGAGAGAGTGAGTAAGTGAGTGAGTGAGTGAAATAGATCGATAGATAGAGAGATAGATAGAGAGAGAGAGAGAGAGAGAGAGAGAGACAAAGTCCACATTTTCCAGCCCAATACACCGTCCTCCTCATCTCGTGGGTGATTTGTTTCCTGCGGATGCCCGCGCAGGGATACCTGGTCAGAAGGTAGGCCGCGAGAGTTTAAAGGGTCAGTGAAGCCAGGCAACGCTCCGCCCCTTCAAGATTCGCAATTCGAATCAGCTTTTATGGTTAAAATTCCAAATTTAATCGCTTTTAAAATTTTGAAACTGTTGTTTTGCAGAAATCGTTCCCCACTGCCAAATCTCCAATCCCGCGGCTCCCAATCGACGGCGCACGATACACGAATTTCGGTGTTAATGGCCAGGGAATAAAAGGATTTTCTTTATCTTCAGACTTTACTTGATTTTTCGTATTATCGGGGCCTAGGCTCAAGCCCAAATCTAAGGCTAAGCCGAGCCTAAGCCAAGCATAAGCCAAGCCTAAGCCCAAGCCTAAGCCCAAGCCCAGTCCGAAGTCTGAGCCCCAGCCTATGCCTTGGCCTGTGCCTAAGCCTGACAAGCCTGTGAGCTTAAGCCCGACCTAAGCCCAAGCCTGCCTAACCCATGCATAAGCCTAAGCCCAAGCCCGACCTAAGCTTAAGTAAGCCCAAGTCTAAGCCTAAGCCTGGCCTAAGCTCAAGTGCAAACCAAAGCGAAGCCTAAGCCTAAGTCGAAGCCTGACCTAAGCATAAGACGAAGCCTAAGCCTAAGCCTAAGCCTAGGCCTAGCTAGGACCAAAACAAGTTAAAACAATAAAAAGCACAATTTATTGCTCGTAATAGCCGATATGCAAATGGTAGGCTGGTAGATGCTCAGGCGCCCTCGGTCTGTTCGGTCTGGCCGGTCTGCTCTTTCGTCGCTTCCACCGTCGCTTGCTTGCTGGAAATAATTGAACTAATTAAATTAAATTAAATTAAATAATTAATTAAACTAATCAAACTTCGGTAAATTAACGGAGCAAATAGCTACGCGTGCAAATCAACCGTTGATTAAAGACGCAAATTTCGACTGAATCCAAAAGTTTTTTTGAAACATTTTGGCTTTTTTAATGTTGTCTAACCTTTTTGGCCTAAATCTAGAATTTCCCAGTACTAATAGGAAGTATTTTAACAGTGTTTTAGTAAAATAAACTATATTCCACGAGAAAAACTCTCAAAAACTATCAAAAAGTTTGCACATTTTGCACAAAAACGGCCATCTTTGGTCGAAAAATCGATAGTTTTTGTATTTTTTAATAAAATTTAACATAGTCGTTATGTTCGGGAACAGTAAAAAACAGTTTAGAAACTACGATATTTTCATTTAAAAAATTGGATCCTAAGAAAACAGAACAAAATTACACAAAAAATGCACATTCTCACCTGTGCCCCGGGATCTGGCCGATGAACATGCGGGGGCTGAAAAGAAATGAATTAAATTTAACAATTTAACAACATATAAATCAAATATAAAAATAACTGTATTTTCAAGGTTTTTACTTTGCATTAGCTGCCACCGGCTTTTCGTTGGTTTCGGGCGCCGTCTGGTCGGTTTGGCTTTTTTCGCTGGAAAAATCACTCTCTCTCTCTCTCTCTCTCTCTCTCTCTCTCTCTCTCTCTCTCTCTCTCCCCCCTCTCTCTTTCTCCTCTCTCTCTTCTCTCTCTCTCTCTCTCTCTCTCTCTCTCTCTTCTTTGACCCACTCGAGCAGCTTGTTCATCGCCTCCTGGGCACCGTCGGGTTCGGGCTGGAAAATCAACGCTTATCTAGCCAGAATTAAGCTGTATATCGAATTATTATAAAAGCTGTATTATTATTAAAATTTATGACAACAAATTAAATTAAAATACCAATAATTCAACTTACGTTTACAATCACAATTTTGCTCGGCTTCTCCAGGCCGCCGTCGGGATTCGCCTGCTTCACCGCCATCGGCTGGAAGATTTGCGCATTAATGGGGAGAGAGAGAGAGAGAGAGAGTGAGAGAGGGAGAGAGAGAGACAGCCACGCACCGGCTTTCTCTTTTTTGAGAAAAACGCGAGGTAGAGCAGCACACAGGTGGTGCAGACGAGCAGCGCCTCGATCACGAACCCGACCACGGCCACTGGATATTATTAACTTTAAGTTTTTGTCTTTTTAGTACTATTTTAATCTTAATTTAGTTAGTAGTATAATCTAGATTACCTTAAACAAAGCGTACCGATAATAACAGTAGAACTGGAAACCATGCTAGCCACAAACCGATAGATAGTAATAAAAGTAGAAATGATGGCATTTTCGAGACATCGGGGCCATTACGGACCGGTAAATTCAAATTAGGTAACCAATCCTTTTTTTCCTCAACAAACTCTGCTAGCCTGCCCTCCCCTTGAAATTCCACGCAATTCAAATACCGTAATTGCGGTCAGGATGACCCCGAGGGCCCGAAAAACCAAGAAAAACCTCCCAAGGTCAAAGGGTGCCGTTCTAAAGGGTGGAGGGAGCGCAAAAACTACGGTAAAAATGTGGATTGCCCCTGGCACCCTGGGAACCTGAGAAAAGAGATGGCACCATGGCGCCCGCACCTCGGGGATTTATGGGGGAGGGAAAATGGTGCCAAGATCTGGATTTGAATATGCAGGACAGGCTAGCAGAGATTGTTGAGGAAGAGGAGAGGGCAGGCTAGCAGAGATTGTTGAGGAAGAGGAGAGGGCAGGCTAGCAGAGATTGTTGAGGAAGAGGAGAGGGCAGGCTAGCAGAGATTGTTGAGGAAGAGGAGAGGGCAGGCTAGCAGAGATTGTTGAGGAAGAGGAGAGGGCAGGCTAGCAGAGATTGTTGAGGAAGAGGAGAGGGCAGGCTAGGGCAGAGATTGTTGAGGAAGAGGAGAGGGCAGGCTAGCAGAGATTGTTGAGGAAGAGGAGAGGGCAGGCTAGCAGAGATTGTTGAGGAAGAGGAGAGGGCAGGCTAGCAGAGATTGTTGAGGGAAGAGGAGAGAGGGCAGGCTAGCAGAGATTGTTGAGGAAGAGGAGAGAGGGCAGGCTAGCAGAGATTGTTGAGGAAGAGGAGAGGGCAGGCTAGCAGAGATTGTTGAGGGAAGAGGGAGAGGGCAGGCTAGCAGAGATTGTTGAGGAAGAGGAGAGGGCAGGCTAGCAGAGATTGTTGAGGAAGAGGAGAGGGCAGCTAAAGCAGAGATTGTTGAGGAAGAGGAGAGGGCAGCTAGCAGAGATTGTTGAGGAAGAGGAGAGGGCAGGCTAGCAGAGATTGTTGAGGAAGAGGAGAGGGCAGGCTAGAAGAGATTGTTGAGGAAGAGGAGAGGGCAGGCTAGCAGAGATTGTTGAGGAAGAGGAGAGAGGCAGGGCTAGCAGAGATTGTTGAGGAAGAGGAGAGGGCAGGCTAGCAGAGATTGTTGAGGCAGAGGAGAGGGGCAGGCTAGCAGAGATTGTTGAGGGAAGAGGAGAGGGCAGGCTAGCAGAGATTGTTGAGGAAGAGGAGAGGGCAGGCTAGGAGATTGTTGAGGAAGAGGAGAGGGCAGGCTAGCAGAGATTGTTGAGGAAGAGGAGAGGGCAGGCTAGCAGAGATTGTTGAGGAAGAGGAGAGGGCAGGCTAGCAGGAGATTGTTGAGGGAAGAGGAGAGGGCAGGCTAGCAGAGATTGTTGAGGGAGAGGAGAGGGCAGGCTAGCAGAGATTGTTGAGGGAAGAGGAGAGGGCAGGCTAGTAGAGATTGTTGAGGGAAGAGGGAGAGGGCAGGCTAGCAGAGATTGTTGAGGAAGAGGAGAGGGCAGGCTAGCAGAGATTGTTGAGGAAGAGGGGAGGGCAGGCTAGCAGAGATTGTTGAGGAAGAGGAGAGGGCAGGCTAGCAGAGATTGTTGAGGAAGAGGAGAGGGCAGGCTAGCAGAGATTGTTGAGGAAGAGGAGAGGGCAGGTTAGCAGAGATTGTTGAGGAAGAGGAGAGGGCAGGCTAGCAGAGATTGTTGAGGAAGAGGAGAGGGCAGGCTAGCAGAGATTGTTGAGGAAGAGGAGAGGGCAGGCTAGCAGAGATTGTTGAGGAAGAGGAGAGGGCAGGCTAGCAGAGATTGTTGAGGAAGAGGAGAGGGCAGGCTAGCAGAGATTGTTGAGGAAGAGGAGAGGGCAGGCTGGCAGAGATTTTTTTAGGAGCTCGGGTTCCAAACTCTAAGTTCGTTCTCGTCTCGCTTTTTGCATCCGCGCTACGCTGAGACTCGGCGGGTCTCGGGATCGAACCCCGGGCTGGTGGCAGTTTTTGCTTTTTGCCGCCAGCCGGCACTCGGCTAGCCGGCAAAAAGGGCCGAGGAGGATGGGTGCTGAATTGCTCTTTTTGTCTGTCCGTCTCTCTTTCTCGCTCTCTCTCTCTCTGTCTCTCTCGAATAGCACTGCTGCTGAAGTCACTCCACCGGTTGGCAGCTACGCCAATTTCCTCTTTACAAAGTGGTTACTTATATTTATTCTGGAAGGGGAATTAGCGACTCTGAAATCGAAAGATACTTTGGATTCAGTCCGCAATTAGTTTCTTGATCGGCCCCTGGTAGTTGTGTTTCTTTGAAACATGTAGTTACAAAAGCGTCACGCCATGCTTTCTCTTTTTCTTTTGTTCCTCGCCTCCGGTATCTACCTGACATTACTGTATCCCACAGGATACCCTGCACGGTACTACTTTCTTGGGAGGACTTATAAGAACATTTTAGAAGTGTAATAAAAAAAAGTAACTTCTTCGCCTCTTGGAAAAATTTTTCGTTTTTGCAAAACCAACCAAATTATTAAGCTCCTCGCCACAGCAGCACCATATAATGACTTGAAACCTTGATTTTCGAATTATTTGACGGCTGAAATGTTTTTTTTAAGAGCAGCTTCAAGGATTTAAAATCCGAATAAAACAAAACTTCTTAAGGTTAAACCCGATATGATTGCACCAGAAAACACTCCCTGCTATCTAGAGCGGCACCGCTTTTTTAAAGATTTATCCTGAAACATACAATTTCTGGTTGGGGTGATAGGTGATGGATGAAAAATATTACCTGGCGTCGCTTCGGGCATTTTCCCAAATTTTCAGCCTGCGCCCGGGGGGTTGTGGAGGCGGCATTGTCCACACATTGCCTCTGCTAGCCTGCCCTTACGTGGAGGAGTCAGAATTCCTTAAATTGCCTCTGCTAGCCTGCCTCCATATATAATTTAGCGGTTTTTCTGTTGGATTTGGGTTTCGGCGCCCGAACGCTGTGACCTTGACGGCGACCCCCTAGTTAGGCGGCGGAAACCATTCTCGGTTAGAGATTTTTACGTAGCGAGAAAAAGAGAGAGAAAGAGAGAGGGGAGAGAGAGAGAGAGAGAGAGAGAGAGAGAGAGAGAGAGAGAGAGAGTGAGAGCTATAGAACGGCAAAAGGCAACGCCATCCCACCGAGTGGCCCCCCGAAACGCGATGACAGATAGCACAGCAACTCCCGGGGGTGGATTCCTTTCACTTTTAATTTTGCTGCCCGGTGTTGGGATACGGTAGCGGGGCAATTTTAGGCCCGGGGAGATGAGTTTTCGTTTAAAAACTCAAGTAACGAGGCAGTTAGTGTAATTTTTTCCTTTTTTAATCGAAAAACTTTGAAGCATATTTTTTCTTCTGGCTGACTGTTTCCGTTTCAAAGTGTTTCTAAACTATTTTTTACTATTCCTAAACGTAAAAACTTTATTTTTTATAAAAAAACAACAAAAAAATATAATTTTTTTCGACCAAAAACGGCCATTTTTTGGACCAAAATTTCCACTTTTTGCCTAAGGTTTAAAATTTTTAGATAGTTTTTCTAGCTCTTTTCTATAATGTAACAAAAATACTATTAAACCGATAAAGATAAAGAACCCTAAATTGTACCAAATTTCGGTATTTTTTGTGCAACTCTACTGTACGACCAGTTCGAGTTGAACGGGTCAAAACTTTCAGGTCAGCCTCCCAGCCTAACCATTCTCCCCTCGGAGGGGCTGAAAAACAAGGGAAACGCGTTCTTCCTCCTTCCAGCCCCTCCAATTCCCATTCCGCCTGCTCGATCCTATTGTACAGATCCTACAGGCCACAACAAACCACCAGGGTACTGTAGCTCTCTCGCTCGCTCGCTCTCTCTCTCTCTCTCTCTCTCTCTCGCTCTCTCATTTTGTCGCTCTCGCTCTCTTTCTCTCTATTCTCTCCCTCTCTTGCTCTCTCTCATCTCTTTCCGTCTCTTTAATGTATGTTTCTCAAATTTTCTGTTTCAACTCATTTATTAGAATACCGAGTTATGCACTCCTTAATTCAGCCAGTCCTCTTTCCAAAACTGTACCTTGCCTATTATCGTAGTAGTAGCCCGCGGAATCCGTACACTTTCGTACTCCCGTAAACAGGGACCGCCGATGATCGAATTATCGTAGGTCCAGAAGTTGGTGTACTAACCGGTTTTTCGCGCTTTCCTCAACAAACTCTGCTAGCCTGCCCTCTCCTCTTCCTCAACAATCTCTGCTAGCCTGCCCTCTCCTCTTCCTCAACAATCTCTGCTAGCCTGCCCTCTCCTCTTCCTCAACAATCTCTGCTAGCCTGCCCTCTCTCCCCTTCCTCTCTCTCTACTGCCTGCCCTCTCTTCCTCTTCCTCAACAATCTCTGGCTAGCCTGCCCTCTCCTCTTCCTCAACAATCTCTGCTAGCCTGCCCTCTCCTCTTCCTCAACAATCTCTGCTAGCCTGCCCTCTCCTCTTCCTCAACAATCTCTGCTAGCCTGCCCTCTCCTCTTCCTCAACAATCTCTGCTAGCCTGCCCTCTCCTCTTCCTCAACAATCTCTGCTAGCCTGCCCTCTCCTCTTCCTCAACAATCTCTGCTAGACTGCCCTCTCCTCTTCCTCAAGAACATCATATTGCAAAAACTGCGGAAATTCCGGGAATGCATCCCACAAATCCGGTTGTTTTTCCGAGCCCCACCCGGCCGCGTAAATCCGTGGGAGTTTCGGATTAAATGTTGCATATTAAGAAAAAAAAACGAGCTGATGACATTTTGTGGGGGGTGGCCGCGTGAATTCTGAGGTCATCGGATTAACTGGGAGATTTGTAAGATTTTGGAAGGTTTTTGGAAGAAGGTAGAGGAATGGAGGTGAGGAAAAAAGGACAATTAAACAGAATTTAAGATCCGAGTACTTGCATAATTTTGAAACCCCATTTTCCAAAATTTTTAAAGATTAAAAATTCTTTTTTTAAGCAAAAATTATTCTTTTCTCATTTATTATGCAAAAGAAGAATTTGAGCTTTTCAGTAGTTTCTGAAACCTTTTTTTGGATCATTCTGAAACGTTTTGCTGTAACTTTGCGTATTCCATTTTTTCGGGGCGTAATTAAAACTCGTAATATTTTTTGATGCTCTATCGAATCGCGGTGAAAAATTGGACGAAAAAGCAAAAAAAGTAATTATAATGGTGGAGCGTTGGCCTATTAACAGATATTAATTTTCAGGTTTCTCAAAAATTCTCGAAACATTTTTTGGTCTGCCAATTTTTTAATTTTTTAAATTTACGGATTTCTTCGCTAAAATTTTCTTAATTAAAGGTATCGGCAAGCTAGGGATATGGTCCAAAAATCTAGTATTTGCAGGCTCATTCTTCCTCCCACATAAATGTCAAGTCAGCGGAGAGAGAGAGAGAGAGAGAGAGAGAGAGAGAGAGAGAGAGAGAGAGGGAGAGAGAAACAAAAAGAAACGGGGAAATAACAACCCGATTATCCGCCCTAAATGCAACACCCGCTGAGGTCAGAAGATAATCCGGGCCTCCTCGCAAAAAATGAATGGCCCAATTGCTCATTTTGTCTGGGAGCTCTGCAAATCCAGCACTTTCTCGCCCTAGGGGATTACGGTAGGCGGGGCGGGATTACAGGGATGGTCACGAGGGTACGGGTTGAATCATTTCCAGCAAAAAACATGTGCAATTAAGCGCAACGCCAAAGTTTAGATCAGGGCCCGGGATTAGGCCACGCCCAGTTTTGGAGGGCAAGTTATAAAATGAACATTTTTCGGCTCAGTTTCCTAGATTCTGGCCGTTTAAAGGCGATGGGACAGCTGCCCGCCTGCCCTCTCCTCTTCCTCAACAATCTCTGCTCGCCTGCCCTCTCCTCTTCCTCAACAATCTCTGCTAGCCTGCCCTCTCCTCTTCCTCAACAATCTCTGCTAGCCTGCCCTCTCCTCTTCCTCAACAATCTCTGCTAGCCTGCCCTCCCCTCTTCCTCAACAATCTCTGCTAGCCTGCCCTCTCCTCTTCCTCAACAATCTCTGCTAGCCTGCCCTCTCCTCTCTTCCTCAACAATCTCTGCTAGCCTGCCCTCTCCTCTTCCTCAACAATCTCTGCTAGCCTGCCCTCTCCTCTTCCTCAACAATCTCTGCTAGCCTGCCCTCTCCTCTTCCTCAACAATCTCTGCTAGCCTGCCCTCTCCTCTTCCTCAACAATCTCTGCTAGCCTGCCCTCTCCTCTTCCTCAACAATCTCTGCTAGCCTGCCCTCTCCTCTGCCTCAACAATCTCTGCTAGCCTGCCCTCTCCTCTTCCTCAACAATCTCTGCTAGCCTCTCCTGCTATTTTAACCAAAACAGACGAAAAACACCGCGACTTATTGTAACCCGAAATTATTTCGCGAACAAGCATTTTTTGTAACGCTTTATTTTTTCTAATTTCATTTTTTTGTTTTACCGTTTGTCTAAGTTACTGTACTGTAATTTCTAGGATTTTTTATTAGAAATGAACCGGGCCTTCTCCTCCTTCACCCAGAAGCCGTACAGCTCGGTGGACGACTTTTTGCATGAGGTGGGCTTTTGAGGAGTGGAATTAGTCTGCTCACTATCGACTATCGATTAATCTAAATCAGCACACCAAATCCAGCAATATCAGGGAAACACATTTTTTATATCCGATTTGAAGAAAAAAAGTTACTTTGACGTCGAATTCCGACTGCTAACTGAAGAGCATTTTTAGCTCCCAAATCATACCTCCAAAATCTAGGTCCGGTCGGTGTGCGAAAACGCATGCGATTTGCATGGGGACGAGGGCGACAAAGTACGAAGGGCTGCTATGGACATTCACGTATGAGTTTTTATGAAGCTTTTGAACTTTTAGCTTTTTACTTTTAATTTTTAAAATTTTTCAAAATTTAAACGCTAAAAACCTCAAAACTAGTCAAACTTTGAAAAACCCATTTTCATATCAGAATTAAGCATAGAATTCATCGAAAGATTATAATCCGAATAATGGATAGAATGTAATGGCTATCTCAAAATTAAATAGAATTAAATTCATATATGATCAAGTAAAGATGAAACATGATTTATTTAGGAAAATTTCGATTTATTTCGAAGCAGGCTAGCAGAGATCCGGCAAAATCGCGAATTTTTGAGCGACCGATGCTGGAGGAAATCTCTGATTAATGTAACTATGTAGCATCTACGCGAATCCAAAATTAAACGAAACATGTTTTTTTAATAAGGCATTAAATTTTGAGCCTAAGGCAGGCTAGCAGAGGTTCTTTGGGAATCGCATCCAGGCCGGTTAAAAATGAAAACTTTAGACGAAGAAACCGACGAATTAATTTACGTTCGTTGATCAAGAATCAAAATTAAACGAAACATGGTTTTTTTAACTCAAAAAGCAATTTTTCCGTTGATGAAGGCTAGCAGAGATTTTTTGGGAAATCGACTTAAGGCTAATTAGCGCCTATAAATTTTAATAAAGGTCATTATGACAATCTTGTCGTTTAGGAGTTTGTCGAAGAGCTGATGGCCCTGCAGAGGAGGCCCGAAAACCCGGAGATGGCTCCGGAAACGTCACAAGCAAATATGCAAATTAGTGGGGTCTTGGTCGAAAATGGAGCGGAAGGTATTTTATAGGGAGTCATACTTTTTTAAATCTGGATTATTTAATTGTCAAAGACGAAGGCTATAATTAAAACATGGAGTCACGACAAAAACAGTAATTTCTACGAAACATATTTTTGAAATTTAAATTGCGCTGAGGTTTTTTAGAGCATTTTTAATACTCTAGTTTTCACTTTAGCTGGCTTTTTGCTACTATTCTTTAAATATATCGCAATAATAGTATAATCAAAAACCGATTAATTAGAAAATGGTAGGTACAAATTGACGAATCCAATTCCAATAAAGTAGCTAGCTTCCTCAAAAAATTGTAATTTTTACAAAACATGTTTTAAATAGGATCGCTTTTTTGCCACTATGCATCATTTAGAATTTCTAATTAGTAATAATAATTTTATTATCACAATAAGTTTTATGTCCTGATTCTAATTTTATCGTCATTTTCCAGCCCCTAAACAACCAGATGCAACCGGCCCGCTAGACCTGGAAAAATTTCCGGAGATCAATTTATTGCTGCTAAACGAGGTAATTAGCTAATTTCAAAACCTTTTTCGATATCTACAACGATTACATAATCGATATTCAGTATCTTAAGCCTTGAAAAGTTTAGCTAATTATTTTCTTTTTTTCGAATCTCATCAACGAACTAAAAAAACCTAAATCTCCCGGCTCTGTAAAAAGCTTGAAACAATTTTTTTGCAGTTTTTTAATTGAAAATTGATAATTTAATCCAATCTATTATTTAAATTTTGTAGTTAATACACCAACGTCGCCTAGCTATCGAGCTAACCCGAGAACTCCTCAAGCATTGCCCGGCCGCAATCACCCAGCTGCCACAAAGACAGAATTATCTGGTCTGGAATGGCAGAAATCAAGAAGAGACGGCGGATTGGCAGGAGGTAATTCCCTAGGAATCTCTGCTAGCCTGCCCTCTCCTCTTCCTCAACAATCTCTGCTAGCCTGCCCTCTCCTCTTCCTCAACAATCTCTGCTAGCCTGCCCTCTCCTCTTCCTCAACAATCTCTGCTAGCCTGCCCTCTCCTCTTCCTCAACAATCTCTGCTAGCCTGCCCTCTCCTCTTCCTCAACAATCTCTGCTAGCCTGCCCTTTCCTCTTCCTCAACAATCTCTGCTAGCCTGCCCTTTCCTCTTCCTCAACAATCTCTGCTAGCCTGCCCGTTTTCTTAAACTCCCTTTTTCAGCACTCCGAATCCGATGAAGAAATGGTCGACGACACATCTCCAAATCCTTAATTTAATTTTTTTTATGTATTTATACAATTTTTTTGACAATTCCACCTAAATCTCACCGCCGCCACTCGGGTATCATCGATCCAATGAAACCGATATGCTTTCAATTCATATGTAAAGCTCTGTATGTACCGAATAAATATCGTGGGTTGAACCTGCCAAAAATAACATAAATTGGCCCTTTCTAAATAAAATAAAAACGCTAGAAAGCTATAAATTAATTAATGACTATAAATAATAATTAATGCCAAAGGAAATGAAACAAAATTAATAATTAACACCGCGAGAAAGAAAAAATGTTTCTCCAAATTACTACTTTCTGAACTCATTTTCGGCGACAATTTCACGCGGCAAGTTGCGCACACTCGCGAGCTGTCGCTCCACAAAGATTTATTCCTAGTTTCCCATGGTCATCCAATTCCCTCACCACCCTCATTCCGCTTTTTCCGCTACTGTACGCCCTCCGTACGGCCGCCCGTAATTAGGAGCATAGCGTTTTTTTTTTGACTGAATGGCCTGCAGGTTGTCGGGTATATAAATTGAGACGGCTCGGCTTCTATCTAGATTTATTTTATTCGAATACCGTAGTGTTATTGAGTATTTTTGAAGGTTGCTTAAATCATCATTATAATAAATATATATTATCTATTATAAAAATTATATTATTTCTATAAGATCGTTCATCATTATAAAATAAATGGGGTTTCAGGAAATTAAATACCTGTAATTTGCTGAAACAAAGCATAGGCTGCACGAAATGATTTCCCCTGATCAGACTGTTTTCCCAAAAAAACCCACCATTTGCCTATTTGATGAAACACTTTTTCCGAATTCAGGCTATTTTTATTTTTCATGAGTTGATGTAATTTAGATGCACGTCTCGACAAACGTGGCGATCACCACGGCCACCGTAGGCACCGGGGCGGCTACGGTAATTGTGCTCGTTTTATGCGCCCAAATCGTCGCCGACATCAACGAGTTCTCCCTGCAGGCCAACGACGATTTTCAGGAGTTCCAGGTGAATTTGCTCTCTCTCTCTCTCTCTCTCTCTCTCTCTCTCTCTCTCCTCTCCCTCTCTCTCTCTCACTCACTCTCTCTTGCTCGTGTAAAATATCATATTTCAGGGAAGAACAAAAACCGTTTTCATGGGTTTTGGGTAATTTCTCAATTCCTTGCCGAAAATTTAAAAAGGAGTTTCTATTTTTGCCCAATTAAAAATTCAGCAAAATCCACTGAATTTCGTAAAAAAACCTTTTTCCAGAACTTTGCCGACGACGCCTGGGGCTCGATGGTGGAGCAAATCGCAACGGCAAAGGATACGGTGATTTCCTGCTAAAATTTAATAGCTTTTTCATCTCTATTATTGAGTTTACAACTATCAACTATTCGACAAATCCTTAATTTTAAATTAATAGGGATTGATTATTTTTGATGCATTCCATTTTTACGTAAAATTTCGAGATGTAGATTGGTAAGAAGAAGACAAATGGTTTAATGTAGACAACGATGAATTTAGGCTATTAATGCTACGTGAAACACCACTTTTCCAGCGCCGCCAAAAACGAGCCGCACCCAGGCAGTCGGATTGCAACTGCGGACGCCATGTTGATAATTCGTGTCCGGTTGGGCCGCCGGGACCTACTGGAGAGCCTGGTAATTTTAAAGATTTAGCTACTGTAGTTTATGGTACATTTATTTATCTAAATCATGTAGCTTTTAAAGGCGACAACGAGGAAAAATATGAGAAAAAAATGTTTCAAAACATAGGGCACTGACATAAGAAATTACCGAATTAATTTATCCCGTTGATCTCGAGATCCTGCCTCAGCCTGTAACGTAGAGGCAGGCTAGCAGAGAGCCTTGAGGAAATCGAAAATATAAACAAAATCCATCCGTATCGATTTTAGAGATTTTTAGGTTCACAAAATCTAAGACTAGGAAGAGATGTTTCAAAAAAATTGATCACCTGATGGGATGAATGCTTTTAATGTTTATCCATGCACCAATGCCATTAACCAATGCGTGCTAGATCTGCAGTATTGAGGCTATTGTTTTGGAAGGGGGCGAGCAGAGAATCCTGAGGAAACCTCCACGCTTTTCCGAAAATTAGTGCACCGGAGTTAAGTATTTTTTTGATTTATAGAGGATGAAATCGGCAAAAATGGGGATGATGATCTAAAAAATTGCACGATTAATGCAAAAATGTTTCAGGAAAATTCATTCCCTGATTGAAATTTTTTGATTAATTAGGGTTTCGAGCTAACACTGTCAAAAAGCCGTCAAGAAAGGGATAACCTTGGGTCCATAATCCGTAACCAGCAAAATCCATAGGCATCCCTTACGTGCTCCTTTAAAAAGCGCTGAAAAAGACCAGGGCAGGCTAGCAGAGAAACTTGAGGAAATGCAACATTTTTAAGGCAAAGGAGCGGGTGCGACGAATTACCTATGTTTACCTCGCCGACAAGCAACAGATTTATGAAAAATATTTTTTTTAAATTGCAAAAACATGCTATCAAACGTATTTGATAAAAAAAAACCGCAATAACCCAATTTTAAAAACTTCTAGGAGCACCTGGAGATGATGGATACCCGGGCCAGCCGGGCCAGAAGGGGCTCAGCGGATATTCCGGGGTGATACGCGAGGGCGAGTGTATCCAGTGCCCAATTGGACTGCCAGGGCCACCGGTGGGTTTTAAAGGGATTGACAAGGGTCGACTTGAAACCCAAGCTAAGCATAAGCCTAAGCCTAAGCCTAAACCGAAGCCTATGCCTAAGCCTAAGCCTAAGCCTCAGACTAAGCCTAAGTTGAACCGAAGCCTTAGCCGAAGCCTAACCTAGGTCTACCCAGTCTAAGATTAAATGTTGCAAAAACATACCTTGCTGAAAAAATTTCTCTCTATTAATGGGATCCTGCCTCGTTTCGAGAAATTAAAAATTAGATTTTGTTTATTAAATTTAGCACAGTATATTTTGATTATTTTGCTTAATTAATGGATTAATTCAGGGAGCCGAAGGGCCGGCTGGACGTCCTGGCCATGATGGTCGATCTGGAAACCGAGGATCGCCGGGGCGACGCGGCGATAGAGGTAGATAGCGGCAATTGTCAACCCCTAAAAAACCCCTAATTTTCAGGAGAACGCGGAGAGCCAGGCGACGAAGGAGCACCAGGAGCCCCGGGCCGGCCCGGCCAGATTGGAGCCCCTGGAGCCGATGGCAGAAGGGTAGGAAATAGCCTGAAAACCGATAATTATGTTAAACAGTCCAGATTTTTCCTTTAAGTAGGCTGAAACCTATTTTTTGCCAAAATCTTGGCCCGATTTCGGGATACTTATTTGATTTTTAAAGGATTTTTAAAATCGGATCAGCTAATACAAAACAATTTCAGGGAATCGGAAAACCCGGCCGGCCCGGCCGAACCGGAAAAGTAGGACCGCGCGGAAATCGAGGATTGGATGGGGAGAAGGGAGAGGTAAGACATTTTAGCAAAAGCGGGCTAGCGGAGATCGTTGAGGAAGAGGAGAGGGCAGGCTAGCAGAGATTGTTGAGGAAGAGGAGAGGGCAGGCTAGCAGAGATTGTTGAGGAAGAGGAGAGGGCAGGCTAGCAGAGATTGTTGAGGAAGAGGAGAGGGCAGGCTAGCAGAGATTGTTGAGGAAGAGGGAGGGCAGGCTAGCAGAGATTGTTGAGGAAGAGGAGAGGGCAGGCTAGCAGAGATTGTTGAGGAAGAGGAGAGGGCAGTCTAGCAGAGATTGTTGAGGAAGAGGAGAGGGCAGGCTAGCAGAGATTGTTGAGGAAGAGGAGACGGCAGGCTAGCAGAGATTGTTGAGGAAGAGGAGAGGGCAGGCTAGCAGAGATTGTTGAGGAAGAGGAGAGGGCAGGCGTAGCAGAGATTGTTGAGGAAGAGGGAGAGGGCAGGCTAGCAGAGATTGTTGAGGAAGAGGAGAGGGCAGTCTAGCAGAGATTGTTGAGGAAGAGGAGAGGGCAGGCTAGCAGAGATTGTTGAGGAAGAGGAGAGGGCAGGCTAGCAGGAAATCTATTTCGCTTTTGAGGAAATCTATTTCAAATAATTTTCAGCCCGGCCATCCTGGATATCCAGGCGATCAGGGCGGCCCGGGGGCTGATGGCGAGCCTGGTATGGATGGGAAAGATGGAGAAAACGGGGCCAATGGACCCCCGGGAAATGATGCTGCTTACTGTCCGTGTCCGCCGCGAAGCGCCGCGGTAAGTTCAAGAGCGTGGTTTAGTAGGCAACAATTATTAGAATCTCCACCCAAGCCAGGGTGCAATGAGTCGAAACAGATTTTTTTCTCTGCCATCCGGTTTTTTTTCAGGTTAATGCCTACAACGGCGTCAATGGAGGTTATTGATCCAGATTCCTCTATTATAGTTAGATTTAATAAATTTTCTAAGCCAGAAATCGCTTAAAATGACAACAAAAAACAGCAGCAAGAATCAAATCCGACCGGCCGTATTCCCCTGTACCCCAATCCTCAAAAACATTTTTTTCCAACTTTGTTGACTTAAAAATTCATCTCTTACATTTCACAGTCAATGTGTTTACAAAATTTATATCTGATGAACCCGTAAGACAAAGCTATATACATAGCGTAAGTGAATGCAAATCACAGTCAAGATGAGTCGGGCCACTTCCCCTGCTCGAATACTAGGATGGCTTGGTTCTGCTCATTTTGAAGGACGGTTTTGGCGTATTCTTGAATATTTGCGATCACTTCCGGCCTTTTCAATTTCGAGTCGAGGTTGACGAAGGAGCCGTTAGGTCGCCTGAAAATAGAAAAATTCATTGGGTTCCTAAAAATCTCTGCTAGTCTGCCCTCTCCTCTTCCTCAACAATCTCTGCTAACCTGCCCTCTCCTCTTCCTCAACAATCTCTGCTAGTCTGCCCTCTCCTTTTCCTCAACAATCTCTGCTAGTCTGCCCTCTCCTCTTCCTCAACAATCTCTGCTAGTCTGCCCTCTCCTTTTCCTCAACAATCTCTGCTAGTCTGCCCTCTCCTCTTCCTCAACAATCTCTGCTAGTCTGCCCTCTCCTTTTCCTCAACAATCTCTGCTAACCTGCCCTCTCCTCTTCCTCAACAATCTCTGCTAACCTGCCCTCTCCTCTTCCTCAACAATCTCTGCTAGTCTGCCCTCTCCTTTTCCTCAACAATCTCTGCTAACCTGCCCTCTCCTCTTCCTCAACAATCTCTGCTAGTCTGCCCTCTCCTTTTCCTCAACAATCACTGCTAGCCTGCCCTCTCCTCTTCTTCAACAATCTGCTAGCCTGCTTACCGTAGTACGGTGAACCAATGTCGCCCATTCCAAAACGGCACAAATGACGTGGTGGGGATGTTGAAGATGATGGAGTGGACCTGTAACGGAAAAGATTTAAAGGCAAACATACTAAAAATTAAGTATTGCCTTTCAATTTTCACAATTAATTAAAGAAATCCGAATAAGTTCCACTCGTATTATACTACGAAACACAAATTTCAATATAGCCAACCTGGTCGAAGGGGATTTGTTCGGCGCTTTTCCGCCCGTCAAACCACACCGGCTCCATGTTGTGCAGCCCGAGGGCGGCCATCAGCACGTTGGCGTCGTAGTTGCCGAGCCCGATCCATGATCTAAAACATTTTTGAAGTGACAGTGACTTATTAAAAAATTCATCTCCCCCCGATATCGCCAAAGCACCGGAAACTTTAAAAGTTTTCACGCGAAAATTAGATAAATACGGACGCTGGTTCAATTTGCTCACTTGTGCGGGTTGAACCATCTGCTCTCGTTCATCCCGTAGCAGATCACGTCGAGCATTTCCGGCGTGAAGGCTTTTTGCTGCAGGAGCGCGTTGAGGCAGTGCACCAGGCAAAATTGACGACTCTGCTTTTCATGATACAGTGCGTCCATCGAGCTGCAAATCAGGTTCTTTCGAATTATCGGTTTAATTTTTCGCATAAATCAAGAAATGCGAAAGAACTTGCAAATTATATTGGAAAATCTATAATTCGAAGTTTAAAATATTACAGAAAAAAGGTTCAAAATAGTTTTGCTAGATATCTTCTTCTTTTTATAGATTTTGCAGTTTTTCTGATATAAAAAGTTCGACATTTTGATCAAAAATATGTGAAAAATACCCCCCGACTACCGCCACAAAATATAGTCCCCCCCGGTAACAGACCAGTGCCCGGAATCCCTGTCGCAAAATAAGCAAATCACCGGAAAAACGTGCCATTTCGTCCGTAAAACATCCATATTCCTGAGATCACAGTTTATTCGCAAACAATCATCAACACGGACGCCGAAACGGAAAACGATAATTGGCACTTGGTAAATACCAACATTAAAATCGCAAGAAAAATCGATAAATCAACTAAAACTACAAATCCTGACGATGTCAAACTATCCTAAAAATCGTCATAAAACTGCTACAAGCAAAAATAAAGGCAGAAAAACGCGAAAATTATTCCCATCCGAGATTGCGGCGCACGGCCGGGTCGTCGAGGCTCTTCAGCTCGGTCTGCTTCTCCTTGAGCATCAGGTCGGGGATGTAGCGGTAGTCCTCGTCGGCCTTCTCGTGCTCCTTGACTGTCATCTGAAATGGAACGGAGTGTTAGGGGGCATATTTATTGAATTTTCTCATGTGATTTACGTCATAATAACAATGTTATAGTTTTAAAAACAACAGATATGGCTAGTAACGTCCTAACAAGTATTTCAAGTGCCTTTAAATTGAAGATTTAGCTATATGTAAGTCGAAAACTAAAAAGTTTAAATTTCTAAAACTTGAAAGTTTTTATTTAAAGTTTCTAAAACTGCTTAAAATTTTCTAATCAGATCAAAAAACCTATATTTTCGCATTTTTTTTTATAAAAACTATGAAGTTTTCACGTTAAAAAATGTAACACCACAAAAATTTTCACAAATATATATTTATATTAGAAAAATCCCTCACCCGGAACTAGAGCGAAAAGAGAATATGTTTCGAAAAAAATAGTTTCATTTTATTTTACGGTTTAAAACCGTTTCAAATCAACGTCGGAAATGATTACGCCAATACGTTGTAGACGCTAAATAAAATAAAAATAAATTACCGTGACGCCGATGGGATTGTGAGCGCGGATCATCTGGAGGAAGAGCTGGACGCGTGGCGCCGGGATCGGGCCTACTCGAACCTGAAATAAAAAATAAATAAATAAACAAAAATCAAAAAATAAATTTAAAACAAAACGTTAACTGAAGCCCTAGAAAACTGCAAAACAGTTTCCAAATTTTGGCGATCAAATGTTTCAAATTAATTCGGGTTCCAAGGAAACAGAGGGGCTCGACTAAATGAGCGATTCAAAGAACGGGAAAACGCACCACTCTCTCGTACCGCGACAGGCCGATCGACTCGTCGACAATCGTCGACTGCGGCTTGAAGGTGGTGGCGCGGCTCGTTTGCGCGGCGACGGCATAACTAAAAATGTAGTATTTAAAGAGTCACGATATATATTTTCTATCTATATTATTTATCTATGTTTCTAAACTATTTTCAATCTTCCCAAACGTGTAACTTATGCAAAAGCTCTACTAGTAAGTATAAAACTATCGATTTCTTGACCAAAAAGACTAAATTCTCGTCCATAGTTGCAATTTTTAAGCGATTTTTAAATTTTTTCAATGGTTTTTATATTTCAAACGCTAATTAGTTGTCCGAAAAAGAGTTCAAATCCATGCAATTCACGCCCCACCTATCCACCACCGGAAACTGGAACTTTTTGGCAATCTTGTGCACGTAGGCCTGGTACTTTTCGAGGGGCACAAAGTCGTGGCCCTGCAGCCGGATGTTCATCACGGGGAATCTAAAAAAGGTTTAAAATCACGTTTAAATAGTTTACTCTGGAAATTCGCGTGGGTCCTCGAATCGAGGCTCATACCGGTCCAGCGGGTCGATCTTTCCAACTAAAAAAAGGAGTTTTTTGAAAAATACAGTTTCTGGAACCTTTTTCTCTGAGCGAGGCGAGTCCACGGGCGGCGTTCGAGGCTATGCGGGGTCGAAGTAAAGTTTTTAGCATCTAGAAAATGTGTTTCAAAGCTGTTTGCCATGAAAAACAGCGCTTTTATATCAATGTTTTTGAGCCACGTTTCGAAAAAAACCACTAATGTAAAAACCTGACACCATTCAAGCTTGAAATTTTCCATTTTGTTAAAAGCTAAAATACCCAAAAAGGCTGAAAAATGACAAAGAAACTTTTTGCAGTTTTTGTAATTGCTATCGATAGGTTCCGCAATGTCCAACTTTAAAAATATTTCTTCAGTGGCTTTTCCAGTTTTCAAAAACAAAAACATGCAGCTGTTCGTCAATCGTTTATTAACACCTCCAAAAAACCCTTGGCAAAGACACAAGCATCATAATAATTTCGCAATCCGGAAACGCATCGATGTGACTAGCGGGGTGCAATGAAAGTCACGCAAAACAAAGATAATTCTACAATTTCGTGATGAATAGAAGGAAGATTGGCCAGCAACGGGGGAAGTGATGGAATGCATGCGAAATCGGGTTGTGGCACGGCTCAGGTGAAAGAGGGGCTGGAAATTGGTCTAAAATTGGATTGTCGGGCCAATAAAAGTTTAAAAAAAAAACTGGAAAGGGTAGAAATACAAGGGCTAGAAGTAGATACACATCGTGAGCATGAAAAAGCGTTGATTTGACAATGATAAGCAGAATTGAGCGATTTTGGCGGTGTCCTGATGAGGGTTTCACCACAGCGAGTGCCGGTTGACGTTCGGCTGCGGGATTTCCGGGTACGACGTTGGGTATGGCGGTTGGACCATCGACGTGGGCCGGCCGCCGCCCATCGGCGTGTTGTACAGCTGGTCTTGCAGCAATTTTGTGAGGCGATCAGACTTGATTTTTCTGAAATTAGAGGATATTTTGAAGTTCTAGATCTAAAATTCTATGTCCAGTTTACCAAATACAGATTCATAACTACAAAGTTACTATAAAACCACTTCCTACTTTTTAAACGTGAAAAAGTGGCACAATTTAATTATAAAAATGCTAAAATATGGATTTTCCAAGCAAACTGAAAGTTTTAAGCAATCTCTCTATTGTTTTTCCACATGAAACAAGCTAAACTTTCCCAAAAACGATTAAAATAGTTGCTAGTAGTTCAAACCGGCAAAAAATCCCCCATATCGCGATCTCACCTCGTATGCGCCAGCTTCTTTTTCGCCAAAAACGTCTTGATAAACACGTCCGGCGTGAGCGCACCCTCCTCGAATTGCTGCGCGATTTCCTGAACGTAGAAATATGTTTAGGAAAGTAATTTACAACTTTAAACTGTTTATAAAAGCCAAAAACCAACCTCAGCCTCCTCTTCGGTTTTTTGGGCCTCAATCTGCAGCAGGGCGCTCGTCGTCTCCAGCGATCGCTCATTGCCGGATTGATCTGGAAAAATAGTTTGGTGATCTAGGGCCAAGAAACGTACCAAGTTGCCCCTTCAGTCGTTCGACGTCCGTTTTCAGCTGCGTGGCCCGCGTGTGCGTCTCGCGGAGCTGGTCTTTCATCTGGCTAATTCGGGGTTCCTAAAATGATCGGATAGATTTTATAAGAAATTTATTTACGATTTATGAAAGACTGTTTTTTACTATTCCTAAACGTTAAACTCTACAAATTAAAAAAAATACAAAAAACATCGATTCTTCGTCTAAAATGCCGTTTTTGACCAAACTTTCGACTTTCGAAGGTTTTAAGATAGTTTTTCTAGTCTAAATATAGATATATTCCACTAAACGCACTAGTAAAACACTTCCTATTAGGTTACTCGACATTTCTAGACCAATACAAAAAAATTCGGGCCCCCGATAATGTGAAAGGACCAAAAAATCAATGCTACATAATACTGAAAAATCAAACGATAATCACCTGGGCCAAATTCCACTCGGCCAGCGACTTGTTCTGCGCGAGCTCGGCCTTTTTGTCTTGGGGCTGGTTGCGGATCTGAAAGGGAAAGACGAATAAACTTAAAAAATCAAATAAAGCCACAAACCTGCGGCAACTCCTCGATCATCGCCTCCATTTGGGCGTCGTTGTCGAGCAGTTTCTGCAGCTGCTCGGTCGTCATGTTCTTCACGGAGGCCATCACGCTCTGCACGCACAGGTCGACCATGCCGTCGTAGCCAGCGTACATTTTGACCTGGAAAGGGGAATAAAATAAGACTGTAAAGGAATGGATGGACAAGTGTAAAGCGACAGACAAAAGAATAGCTAAAATCGAGCCCGGCTGGCCAAAAGTTAACTTGAAATCGTAGTAAATCAACCAAAATAGGATCCGTTAAAGCATCGTATTTTATTAACATCATTGTTCCAAGTTTTTCATTGAAAAAGGTCAGGAAAATACGATGATTCACTCGTTTCCATGAAACACATGTTCTTTCGCAGCCCAATCCCAGCCAATTTGGGGGCAGAGAGGTAGAGGAAGGCGCGCGAAAAGCCTGGGTACGGTGGCCCCAGACACAGGACCCGATATAGGAAACAACGCTACAACCACCGACAACTGAGCCGCGCCAATCGCAATTTTCCACTATTTTTTCTGATACATTTTTTCGTCATGTTCATCGTATATGGAGGAGGATATAGGGCCAGTTAGCATAGATTGTTGAGGAAGAGGAGAGCGCATGCTAGCAGAGATTGTTGAGGAAGAGGAGAGGGTAGTCTAGCAGAGATTTTTGAGGAAGAGGAGAGGGCAGGCTAGCAGAGATTGTTGAGGAGAGGTGAGGGCAGGCTAGCAGAGATTGTTGAGGAAGAGGAGAGGGCAGGCTAGCAGAGATTG